CATCATCAGTGTAATATATATTAAGAAACTCTTTTAAGGACACGCTTGTGGCTCTTTTTGATCTATCTTCTTTCTTTGATAATTCAACCTTCACTGTCAAATCACCATATTTTGTCCTGAGAGATAATTTTTCTTTTAGTTACATGAATCATTTAAATTAAAGTGCAGTCAAAAAATACCCGTTGGGTCCAAGTGTTCAAAAAAAAAAAACCCGGTGGGTCCAAGTGTTCAAAAAAAAAAAAAAAAGTTGGGTCCATGTGTTAAAAAAAAAAAAAAGATTTCTTCTATATATTAAGGGCCTACGATCAATTTATTGATCATTCTGGCTCTTACGCATGTAGAGGGGATTTGCAATGTTTCTGTGCCTGGTGTCGAAGAGGATATTTCACTGGATGGAAGGGCTACTCAGTGAGGGTATCATGAACTTGGGGTTGGAAGGCCTGAGGCAATAGATGCAAATGTTTCAAGTGTGGTCGCCTCAACTGCTCCTTTTGGGACCTTGTTCCAGACACTGATTGTCTTTGGCAGAAATTAAGTTTTGTAGGAAGACAAAGTGAGAGGGCACAAAGCAAGTACAAACAAATGTCAATATTGGCCAGCCTTTAACCAATAGGCCTACAGACAAAGGCTCTTTACTGATTAATATAATAGGTGCCTCCCCCTTAAGAACTTTTTTACCCGAGTTCACAAGTCACGCATGACAGCTTTTTTAAAATCTCAGTACTATTAATATACAAATGCTGAGTTGGGGGAGAGCGGTTTCTTCTTCTATATATTAAGGGCCCACTATCAATTTATTGATCATTTTGGCTCATATGCATTTAGAGGGGATTTGCAATGTTTCTGTGCCTGGTGTTGATGAGGACATTTCAATGATTTCCAGTGCCACTTTGTGAGGGAATCATGCACTGGGTGTTGGAAGGCTTGAGGCAATGGACACAAATGAGTCTAGTGTTGTCGCTTCAATTGTTCCTTTTGAAAGCTTGTTCCAGTCCCTGATTGTCTTGGGCAGGATTGAGCAGCTCCTATACTGGCTTCTTGCTGGTATGAGCCTGAATTGCCTGTCATGGCCTCGTCACTGTCTATGGGGGAGAGGGACGAGTTTCTGTTTAATACTGGAACAGTGGACCAGCCCATTATTTATCTTGTACATAATGGGGACCCTGGATTGTCGTCGTCGTTCCTCCAATGGTGACCAGCCTAGTGTTTCCAGCATGCTGCCAACACTAAGAGGTATTCCTAAAGCGGTTCAGGACAAAGCGTGCTGCCTGTCGCTGGACCGCCTCCAACCTGTCAATGCTCTTCTGGGTAAATGGGTCCCAGACTTAAGATGCATGATCTAAAACCCGACGGACAAAGGCTTTATATGCTCTTTCTTTCACACAGGAGTTTCAAAAAGGAAGCATGACATATCAGAAAAAAAATTTATATAAAAGAATTCTGAATTATATAAATAATTTTTAAGGAAGTGAATTAAAATAATAAGATTGCTTAATAGTGGTTATGGTCAGACATGTTATCATTAACCTTTTTATTTTATTCATCCTTAATTTTATCTAATTTGATATTTAATAAATGTGTACTCATACTATAAATACATGGCAATTATAACTGAATAATATAGTTTATAGCTTTAAATATAAACTGTGGAAACTAACCTTAAAAACTCATCAGTCCATTCTGTTAGTCCTGGATGGTTAACACTTTGAAGTGCAGATTTCATCCATAAAGGTTTACTGGCTTTAACAAAATGAGCATAGAAAACAGATGGATTGGAAAATTTGCCTATCACTGTAACACCTCGCCCCTGCCTGTGGGATCCCAATTTTTTAAACTGACCCTCTGTACCTGCATAATTTGATGACATTTGCAACAGACATAGCAGCACTGTAAATGTTATTGAGGAAAAATCCATTGTCTTCATTTAAATGTTTTTGTTTGCATTGCAACTGTGTAGATTCAAAGTACTGGTATCATGACAAAATCATGAACAATCTATAGGTTGAATAAAGAAACACAAAAATATTAACATAAATCCTAACATAAAACTCGATGTTTTGTTTGTTTACATATGCCTATGCCAAATTACAATATTTCAACAAAATTACTGAAGCTAGATAAAAAAAAGTTATTGTTTTTAGCTAGGATTTTTAATCTGAACCAAGTGAATTCACACAAATACTTTAAGCTTAAAGGGGCAAGAGCCTATGGCAACTGTGTCATTTTGTGAATGATGCAACAAATGTTGCTGTTGTAACAAAACTATGATAAAAATTAAAAAATAAATAAATATAAAACTCTTTTCTCAGCCAACATTGCAACAATAAGGATAAGACATAAAATTGTTGACCGCATCCACACGATATTACTAAAATTGAAAAAAAAAGACAAGCGAGATGGTCAGGACATGTTACGAGAATGACAGACAGCAAATTGCCTAAAGAATTAATGTGCTGTGAAATTTCCACAAAAGAAACCCTCAGCTTGAGGGCAGAAAAAACACTTAAACACTGTCTAAAGACTACACTCTAATCCATGGACATCGAACTAAATTCATGCGAAATGATTGCTTTGGGTTGCATAAGCTGGCAGACTCACAGTTGGAGCACAACATAACACTTACACAAAAAGAAAGCAGACAGAAATGAAAAGCAGAAGTGCTTCTAATTCCACTAGGTCCCCAAAACATGTGTGTCCTACATGCGGAAAACTTTCTAGGCAAAAATAAGACTGGCAAGCCATCTCCATACTTCCAATCGAATATAGCCTTGGCTACATTTGCATGCAACGGACAAACAACAACACAGTCAGAACTAAGGCAACAGTAAGCCCCAACTTAAATTTAAGAACTTACCTTTCTCATATAAGTTAGCCTACATAGAGAAATTGTGTCAAGCAACAAAACATAAGAAAATATACAATTTTATCTTGAACTGATTTGTGCTAAGTTTAAAGTATTGTTCATGCTTATGTTAAGTGAACTAGGCCTACTGTAGACCTACACTACAGAATTATAGTCAATCCAACTATAACTATTATCATAGTGTCAAAGAAAATGATTACAAAATTTAGTTGGAATATGGGTAGGCCTAACATTTTATAATTGTCTAGCACTGTTTTTACTTCTGTATGTACCAAGAGAACAAAAATAAAATTAGGGCCCTTTTAAAACTATAAAGGATTATTTTATTGCATTGCCATATGACTTTGGGGATTTAAAAAAAAATAGATTTGAAGTTGAATTTTAAATAAGATTGTAATTTTAAATTCAGTATTAATTACGAAGTTGTAATTCACAGTTGGCTGGGAATAATAATTGCTAGCGGTTAGTAAACTATTTATGGGCAAGGAATAATGCTGAGTGTTGTACACAGGAAACATTAGGTTGGGAATAAAATAGGTGCCTACAGCATACTTATAAAAATTACAATAAATAATATAAAATTGATAGGTAATCATACAAATGCCAGGCCCAAATTCAAAACACTAGTAAAGTGCTTTGAATGAGCAGTTACTTTGTCAGTTATAGGCCTATATCGTTTGGCCAAGAACGTTATATAAAAAAAACAATGCAATATTCAAAACAAAATTATCATCTCAATATTTGATCGGTGACATCACTCAACAGCTTCAAGCATTGTCAGCAAACATGTTCTTTGTGAATAACACCCAAGTAGCTTGGAAACAGGCCATGGCGTGTTCCACCTTGTTGAACTTGAAACCAATTGCGAACATCATAAAAGTTATAATTTACAATGGTGTGGTATCGGAATTTACAATGGTGTGGTATCGGAACTTTCAATGCTCTCGAAGAGCAAGACACACTTGTATCACTTCCTAAACCAATTAATCATCATGACGATTTTCTATATGCTAAGCCCACAGTTACAACATTATTTGCAATATGAAATTGAATTGGTGCTTGCAGTCCGCCGGCCATGGTATTTTTAAGTTTTATATTTTTATTATTACAATACAAGCAATAAGTGAATAATCTGCACTGCAAGAAAACTTAATTATTTAGAATCATAATCTTAGATGTAAATGATTACATCAACATAATCTGGGCCATCTGGTACTTTCTAACTAAAAGCACAGTATTTGACATTTTGCGTTTTGTAGCCAGTGTTTGGAGGATAGCCAATTGATACATTCACCTCACTAGTCCTAATTAATAAATAGTCAATTAAATATTTAGCGGCCACATGGTGTCCACACTCATACTGTACAGTCATAATTATGATAATAATTGACATTTATTTCATGAATGCTTCAATCATTGCTTCTTCATTCATATTCATGGTAAAGAATCTTTTTATTTTTTGCTCTTAATCTTGACTTTGACTCCACAAGCCCGCTAATAAAGAGTCAAACACTCAAACTCATTAAATTTTATGTTAAAAATAAAAAGATAAGTTATCACTAGATAACTGGTTACTGAACAGGAATAGCCTGATGAGCATGATTCTATAATGTAAATGTATGTACAGTATGTATGAGTATGATATTGAAATCTGACAGGGAATTGAAATGAATGCAGGCGTTCATGACTTGAAACAAGTCAAGTACATCTAGTAAAAGTATCAGACTCAGAACGGTATGCTACAAATAAAAAAAATGAAACGGTTAAACTAAGGTAAGGTATTATGGGTACTGTAAAGGTTTTACTCAAGTTACCAATACTACCATTCTTAATGGATTTCAGGTGAAGTTGTAAAATGCATGGCACGTTTTCTGTATTTCTTTTCACTTTTCAAGTTTTGTAAATAGCAAAGGGACAGAACTCTCAAAGAATGCCGCTGGAAGGGGTGTAGAAACGTTTTTCTGGCAACTGGGCCTTGTATCGATTTTCACACAGGCTGCGGACATAACGCAAGAAGAAATAACCCCAAAATATCATCAAATAAAATAATGCGATGGATTAAAGACAACTCTTTTTACATGCTGGGAACTATGCAGTCTTTATTTACCTCTAATTTTAAGATAAAAGATTTATTTTAAAGCCATTAATTTAAAAAAAGTTACCGCTTGATTTTCTTGTGTAGTAATTTTAGCTTTGATATCCACTACAGAGAAATTACAGACTTCGCCATTACCCTATATTTCACGTTAGAATTTAGAAACAAGGCCAAGGGTAAGAATTATTTTTCAAAGTAACAATTGAGCTACGCTTAGTATTTTTCAGTTTGGCATTTTAAACTAAAAATCATGCACAAGAATGCAAGATTAAAAAGTTAAAAATGGCTTTTTTGACTTAGACTTACCTAAGCCTAAGCACATAGGCCACTATGTGATTATATTATCAACTACATGCTATACGACAGTGGTTCAGTTTTGGCAACTCATTTTTCAGTTTTATAATTGTTTTTAATAATTGAATTTTCATTAAACACATCTAGATATTCCAACACATCTAGATATTCCAAGACATCTAGATATTCATCTAGAATCTATTCTAGGCTATCTAAACTTAATTAATTAAAAAAATAATTAGTTAAAGTACTTTATTTTCATTGTTGAAAATTCAAGTGAGTCACATAACTGTGAGTACAATTTAATAGTGCATGTCAAGCACAGTTATTTTGAGTTTGACCATGCAGAACTGGTATAACCTCTGAATGGGTCTAATAGAAAAATACGGGGAAGACTTTATTCAAGTTTTAAACAAATGCGTATAAGAAATATATACTGGGTAAGGAAAAACTGTCCTGAATGAGGACAATACAAAATAGTGGATGTTTCGGCCAGGAAGCATTCAACAGCAGAAATAAAGAGACAGACAACTTAGCTTGAAAAGATATGTAATTGTAGACATAAATTGGTAGGCATATAATTCAATTACGGAAGTGTCACACGAAATTTAATAATTTGTGTGCGAGATTTAATTTTTTTTATTCATGTTTAATCTTTTATGTCATTTATTTTTTTTTTATGTTCTGTTAATCTCATTAGCATATTCTGCTAGATGTGATGCCATGACAACATGAACAGCACAGTGTGCTTAAACAGTGCAAAATCAGAGACCTTTCGAGTCAGCATGAGTGTACTACTGTGTACAGTGTAAGTGTAGCACAGTTGTGATCTTGCATGAACCCCCTCTGTCATCTTTTTGTCCTTGCTCCTCTTCAAAAAACAAAAGATATTTTTTATTGCACGAAAAAGAAACTGGGAACCACCTGTAAAAATTTTGAAAATGTATATGTTTCTGTTTGCAATAAAAAGACTATTTTGCATATCACATGTAACACTTGGGTTGGGTGAAGGGATCTAGTCCTAGAATGTTAGAGTTGGAGGTAGTGTTTTTGAAAAGGTGGCTTAAAGTGTCAAACATAGTAGGTTCACAAGATTAGAAGAATCATATAATTCAGTGATTTGCAATACTTTTCAGCATTTATCAGTGTGGAAGGAAAGTGGGTGGGATGTTTAATAAATGTATCATGTCACTAGTCGATGCTGATTTTTTTTGTGGTGAATTATTGATGATGAAGTCTGAATTTAACAAAAATGTATGATGTCATGTATGAGTGAATTGAATGACTCTTAAGTTAGCTATTTTAAACATAGTGATTTCTATATTTTCTCATTCCAAAATATAACCAAATTCAATTTTATTTGCTGTTACCTCTGCTTGATAGGTTAAATTTGATAACAAAAACATAAGAAAAAAGCTTATATGGCACAAAATGATAATGTTTAACATTATATATGTTGTCGTAAGTGCGTATTAAGATATAAATTATGGCAGAGAATTTCATCGTTATAAATAAATATTACGTAAAATCTAATATTTGAAATGGATCAACTGCATTTTTTCAATATCTTCCTTGTTATATTATATTTAATTTTGACTCTTTTAATATTCATCACAAAGGAAAACTAATTTTTCATGATATTTAAATAAATATTAATTTAACTTTTAAAGCAATTATGTTAATAAAAATGAAATTAAAATTCCTTGCTACTGTAGGCCCACAACAGCTTTTATAAATGCTTTGTCTGAGTAGAGGCTGGTGCATTTTTTACAGTACATTATTATGAGGCATAACTTACAAAACACTCCTTGTATTTTTGTTTTACTTCTTCATCATCAAATACTTTATCATTTTCAATTAATAACATATTATTTTTTTTTTTTTGTTTTTTTATTTTTTTTACAGGTCAGAAAACATGAATTTTTCTTGGTAATACCTTTTTAAATGGGAGAATATTCAGTGCAATGAACTGCTTAATGTTTCACAATAATTTTACTAAACACTTGCTACAGAAAATACCAATCTGTAACAGAGGACACATTACCAATTGGAGATAGCCAGCAGGAAAACAGTGTTTTAAAAAATGAGCTCAGTAAACGAGAGGAGTTTGGAACACATACAAGCATTAGAGACTGGTCTTAGCAACCCAGAATCAAATATTCAGCAATCTCTAAATGGATCTAGTTTGGAAATTGCTGATTATCCCCCTAAGTCTGGATTACCAGAGCCAGTTAAAGAAAAAAATATTATTCAGGAAAAAATATTTTCTTTTGAAAAAAGCTCTGTTTCTAGTGAATTAAATGTAAGTGAAGAACATAATCATACTGATAAGTCTACAAATGAACTTTGCTTGCAAGAGATGAATTCTTTAACAGTTATTCAAGATAAGGATGTGGGACACAATGCATTTGAAGGAGATGTCCCAGTAACTAATGTTAGATGTTCACTGAAAGGTGATGAGATCCCTTCTGGTCAGAAATGTGAAATCTCTCCTGGTCAAATATCACCTGAAGATAATCAAACCTCCATTGTCAGCAACCTACATTCCGACTGCTGCCCTTCTGCTTGTGATGAAACCTTACATCAAAAGTCAAGTGAGCAGAGTTCACCAAAGACAGATAAAACATTAATTTCAAGTTCTCCCCCCTTGTCTGTCCCTGATTGCAAACTGATCTCATCTGATTTGCCTGATGATTTAGCCAATACTTCCAGTGGTTTGATGCCTGCTTTGTCCGTTGATGAGGCTGTTATGAATGACTTGCCTGATGCATCCAGTACTCAGTCTAGCAGTAGCACAGAATTTCCTGAAGTATCTGCTGGTCATGCAGATCTTGTCAATGAGCTTATTCCACATACATCTGATGCATCTTATAGCAGTAACAATAACAACCTTCCACACAAAAAACTGTGTTCTTATATCTCAGAACCTTCAACAGAAAGTCTTTTACCAGAACCGAGCAATGGCTTTCCTGATGTCTCAGACTTTCAGCCGCTTATTTTAGATGTTCGGGGATCCTGTAATGAAAATTTACTGGATTGTCCTACAGATATTCAAGAGACTAATAATTCTAATGCTAATTGTGTGACACAGCAAGTAGAAGGTAAAGACAAATTTTTGGATACTATGGAATCCATTCCAAAGAGTGCTATGGAAATGTTGAGAGGTATCATGCAGCTCAACCAAATTAATCAGTCAAAAACAATACCTGAAGCTCATGTAATATCAAATTCAGCCAATAGCAGTCAGGAAATGGTAACTGAAGAAACAGAAAGTGTTATAACTAAACCAGGATGCTCTAACAGTTTATTGCAGAATGGTACACCAGACAGTGCATTTAATTTACTGAGCCAGGTCGCAAATAATAAAGTGGATGGCTCCGATCAGGTAGCCACTCAAGTGGCTTCTCTCACCAGTTTCCCATTAACTGCAGAACATGCGAGCCAGCATCCACATATGATTACAGTTAATAGAATCCCTGTTACATGTGTCCTTGTACAAGATACAAATTCAGTGTCTTCTAACAAAGTTACCTTAGTCATAGCAAAACCCGGTTTATTGAAACCTAGAAATGCTCTAGGTGCAGAAGATTCCAATAAAAATAGGCAAATTTTACCTGCAGGGTCAGCCACAGATAATGCATCTAATGAGACAATTATTAATGCGGAGAATTCAGTTCCCTCTTCACCAACAAAAATGACTACTATTAAAGAGAGAGTTGCAAATCTTGTTGATAAAACCATAGAAAAATTTGTCATGAAAGGAAGAGACTTGGAAAATAGTAGCATTTTGAAAATACCTTCCGACACAGAACTGAAAGCCATGACACATTCAAACAGCAGTGTTCAGTGTTCTGTTTGTGGTGAAATTTATCATAATAATGTAAGTCTATCAAATCATTTGGGAAGAACTGTTTTCAATCTCTTGTATGAATGTCCTATTTGTAAGATAGGCATTGTGTTTTATAACAAGTGCGCTCTGTGGAAACACTTGAGAAACCATTGTAAGACACTCCAGTATAACAACATCTTACAGTTCAAACCCTATGATTTTAAAACCAACCAAACTGAAGAAATAGAATTAGTTTCCACAGCGGACATAGCTTCATTGCATACTAGAGACAAAACTGCTGACCATATTAGTATTAGCAAGATGCGTACTTTACCATTATTGCCAACCATTTGTGGTTTAAATACACTGGAACAAGGCAGAAGTGAATGCTTGTTAAAGTGCAGTATGTGTAACCTTGTTCACCTCCAGGTAACTCAGATCCAAAGTCCCCAAGTTTCAGTGGACAAGACTTTGATTCAATCTTGCCCCAGCTGTGGAATGTTTCTTCCAAGCCTGTGCTCATTTAGAGCTCATATACGGCTGCATTCAAAAGCAGTTAATAATATGATCTGCCCTGAATGTGGCCATATCACTTTGAAGAACAGTCTATCACTAGATGACATGAAGAAAGCTGCTTTTGACCACATGGATGAATGTAAGCATTTCAACAGAGTTGTTGTCCTGTCATGTTTTTGTAAAGAAGAATTTATGCTAGTGAAGCAACTAGCACACCACTTTATAAATAAACACCTTCAGACATTATTCAAGTGTAAATTTTGTCTTTTAGCCTTTACTCAGCATGAGCACTTGTTAAACCATATCAAAATCCTTCACCAAAACCAGTATTTTGCAATTGAGCCCAGTGGAATCCATGTTCTCTGCACTTACTGTCAACAGTTATTAAAGAATCCCAATGAGGCTAAAAGCCATGTTGAGACCCATGTTTTAAACCAAAAGCACAAAGCCGTGTTCAAGTGGAAGTGCTTCTTATGTTCTAAAGTATTGGAAAATAAAGAAAAGCTCAGTGAACATTCTGATAGAGAGCACCCGCACAAACCGAAACGCTGTATGATTTGCTTCAGTTTATTTTGCAGTCGACAAAATCTAGTAGACCATATAATGTTGAAAAAATGCAAACAGTCGACACCAATGATATATGATCAATGTGTGGACATAGAACAAAATCTTCAGCTCCCAGATTTGAACTATTTCAAGCTGTTCATGGTGCCTGGATCAGACAATGGCCCGTCTAAAGCAACTGTCGGTTCATTAAACAGGAAATTTATAAGAATCGCTCCTAAAGAACTGAGTAAGTTAAATGATTCAAATTGTGAAACTGAAAAGTCCACAAGCGGACCACGTGATCCCTCATCTCAAGAGCAATGCATGATTACTGAAACACCTGTCTGTCTGAATCCTAATCTGGGCATCCAAAAAAATGTTAGCGCTTCTGGGAAAATGACAGCAGTTCAGCGGATAAGCATTAATCCAGGAAAAAAATTAACTCTGACTGGAACAAAATCAACAACTCTAATGCAAACTTGTCAGGAAAGTCCAGAGAGTCAACTGGAAAGCACTTTTACTGTGAGAAAAAATATTAAAAAAGTGTTTTCCTGTCAGGTATGTCAGCAAAAATTTGCTGCAAGAAATTACTACAACTCTCACATGAGAGCTCATGAAAAAAAAGGTGAATGGAACCCCAATGAAAAGTGTGATGTATGTGAAATGCGTTTGGAAACCTCTTTCTTGGAAACTCATCTGAAAGAGCACCAAGCAGAAGGGGTAGTAATCTGCTCAAGTTGTCAGAGTAGGGAATTTCAGGATATGGAGGGAGCTCTGAAACACCCAGATACTGGATGTGCGTTAACAAGGAACACTGGTCTAACAAGTTCCACTCAACCTTGTCAAAAAGAAATGTCTGAAATCCCAGATGAGCCTTGCAAAACTAACATATCACAAGTAGTTGAAAAGGGGGTTCATGCAAATGCAATAAATGCTGAAAAAAACAAAGAAGAAGAAGAAACTTCTGTTTTTCCGTGTCTTCTGTGTGGTCTAGCTTTTCATACTTTGGCAATGAGAGAAAACCATGTAAGTAGGCTGCATGATGGGACAAGAATAGTTTACCAGTGCCTAAAGTGCAAGAAGAAAAAAATGTCAAAAGTTATTTTTTCCAAAAAGGAATCGGTTGTTCGTCATCTGATAAAAAGGCATAGAATTTTAAAGATGGATTCAGTTGAGAAATTTATTGGGATTGAAGAACAAAATGCCAGCAGTGGACATAGCCTTCAGCAAACTGAGTCTGTAGACTCCGATGATTCTTCTGATCCACCCCCAAAACGTCTGCGAATTGCAGAGAATGGAGACTATATGTGTGGCAAATGTGGTTTTTTGACCACAGACTCTGGAGAGTTTTGCAAACACATTGCTACTCACAATGCTAATAACGAACCCCAGTGCCCAGAATGTGGTCTATGTTTCACTGTTCTTCCTGCATTGATGAAGCATTTATTTGCTGTGCATAAAATCAGAGCTGTTGAGGAGTTTCTAAAATCCAAAAACATAAAGATGCCAGAATTTGAAGCTGATGAGCCTATGGAGGATGCTGTGTTTCCTGTACCTACATCCCCTGAGTCCTATTCAAATCTTAATCGTCACAGATCATCCCCTCAAAACCCTCTGGAATGTACAGTTTGTTACAAGGTTCTTGAGTCTGAATTAAACTTGAAGACACATATGAGAAACCATGGCATGGCATTTATTCGTTCTAAGAGGCTCCAAAACATAGATGATCCAGGTAATAAAGATTAATTGCCAGACAATTTTGAAATAAAGTAAATTTGTTTTTTTCCCCCTCTTTACGACCTTTCAACTTTGACCTATTCTGGGTCTTTAAATATCTTTTATGCTTAGAAAAATTCCCCAATTTTGCAAAATTCATGTAAGAATCACTGATTATTCAATTTTGAATTATTATTGTTATACTTTCATTAGCTGTGTTATTTGAAAAAGTTATTTAAGTGAAATATCATTACTTCATCTAAATCTGATAAAAACATATTTTCTGTTAAGCAAATTAGTTTTTGTGGTATAGTATACATTGTAGTTCAAGGGTGCATTTTTTGTGGAATCATAAAGACTTTGTAAATATTTCTCCAAGCATTTCTTACAGGGAAGGGTTTTTACCAGGACCAAAAAAGCATACAGTACTCATTTCTTTTAGCTCACTTTTTCTTAACTAAACTATGTACCAGTTAAAAGCAAAAGACATCTAAATCAAACCAATCTTCAGTACCAGTAACTAGTACAATTAAAACTGCATGTTTCACAAAGTTTCCAAATGGATTCTTTGCTCTTACACTTAAACCTCTTAATGCCATCACAGAGTTACACCTACGATATGAGCCAAAGTAGGATTTTGTTGGACTCCATTACTGAATAGAGGAAATAGGCATTGTACTGACAAATACTGAGAGTTACTATGGTATAATAAAATGGTACTAAAATTTCAATTCTGAAAAGCCTCTGAGTCATTATTGTCATAGGTTAAAATTTTATAGGGTAAGCTAAATGGGGTAACTTATGTTAATGTTAACAATTAAATATTTGTTTAAAATTTATATTTTATGTGTCAAAATTGCAATAGTACCCAATATATTTCAAGAAAACATGCCTGTATTGTGAACATGTGTGATAATCAAGATCAATAATACATAAACTAAACTTAAGTTTTTGTTGTTTAAAGCCCCATCTTTTATTCTGTTTATTGTCCATAGTAAATTCATTAAGTCATTAAGTGATCATGTGTCCTTACCTTTTATTGACATTGATTAACATATATATTCTTAAACTTAATCAGTGCTCAAAGTTTATAAGTCATGCATTGACCAAGTTATCTTTAAAACTTAAGAAGTTTCAGGGAATATTAAAACATGATCCCTAAAAAAAAAGCTGGGGTCATTCTCCTAATAACTTGAACCAAATAGATCAGTATTGATCTTGAAATAATATATAGTAGTAAAATAATTTGTCCTTAAGAGTTCATTATTAAATTTTGTTATTTTTGCATTTAAAGTTATTTTGTCCAGAGAATATTAATAAATGCTTTGTGTTTTGTTGGAATTTATTCTTGATATATCAAATGATATATACTGGTTATTAGTGTTAAATTACCTTTGGCGACACCTGTTGATAAGTTTTCACCTGTTATTAATTATTACACTAATAATATTTCCTTACCACTCAATGTTACACTTGCTTTTTTTTTACATTATCTGTAAATAATCAATATGAAATGTTTGATTTTCTACAGGTGTGGATATTTTTCTTAAGAGATTGTGTTTTGCTATCAAATTTTTCTTTGTGGGTGGGAGGTGGGGTGTCTTTTTGTATTTTTAATAGAAACGGAGCCAATTAAGCTTTTTGACAACTTTAAGCAAACATTTTTTTTTGCAACCCTTTATTTTATATTTAATTATGAAACTTAAATTTGGGTATGTTTGACAGCAAGTGAAAATTTTCATAATGTTGACAAATAAATTTTGTTATTCTAAATCGAAAAACGTTTTACAATGCTTACTTAAAAAGATATTTTTTTAATTTTAATTTTTTATTAGTTTCCTCTTTCTACAATTTTACTGGCCTCCAAATTTGCCTCTCTGGGCAGTTGTCCTGCTCTGCTACTGCTTGTGCCACTCTAGATCTGGCCCTGAATAGAAATTGATATTTATACTATTCTGGCATAGTTAAAATTTGAGGGTTATATTTAAAGTCTCCCTAACTCATGTAATTTTTTGTCATTTAATTCCTAATGTAAGGTCTATAGTAAAGGCATGGCTTAAAAGTGTGAATGCTTTAAAAAAATAGGAATAAGATGAAATTTCACATAGGTGGTGTAATTTTTAAATGGCCATCAATAGCAGCGAGGAATTGCCAACCTGGGGTGCTTGCATCTCCAGGGGTACTGGGTGGCATTTCAGGTGATGCAAGGATTAAAGAAAAGAGGAGCCATCGAGTGAAGTTGGGTGGCGGCGATGTTTAGTGGAGCTGTTGTTGGAATTCTGTCCGTAAGCCTTACATTGAGAACTTCATATGGAAATCCAAATGTGATAAAAAAAACAACACATCTCAACATACGGTACTTCTGTTCATTATCAAAGTCTAGCAGTTATTAAATATGAAGTTACTATGCTTGTTATGTAGAAAATTTTTTGCAACTGGCTGAACAGAAATGCTTGAATATGCAAAACTGGTCCTATCGGAAACTCTGACTTAATTTTCTAATATTTTTTAAATTATATTGTAGTATACAAGAATAAAAAACAACAGAGTTGATTGCACTATAATAGCATTTCATGTTTAATGAAACATTTAATTATATTTCTAGCATTTTCATTACAATAAAAGCAATACTCTATTATCTTTGTAGCATTAACATTTAACATGGACAGTGATGTACGAATAGATCCATTATTAATTAAGGATACAAACATTCTTCCTGAAAATCAATGTTTCTTTCAGACTATTTTTTCCGGGGTGGGTGGGGGCTGCCAGTTGTGTAAGGAAGGTTGGGCGGAGGGATCTGCCCCGCTGCCTTTTTCATTTAATGGAGGGGGTTTTTCTTTGGCCCACTTCAGAGTTCTATCATGGAAGGGGGCAGCAAAATTCTTGGCCGGCCCAGTGTAGCATTTACTGTAACTACGCCGCTGAGCAGCGACCAGGATGAGCCATAAATCCCCTCATTGGAACAAACATAAACTAAATTCATTTCAGTTGAAGGTATGCTGTGCATTTTGACGCGGCTAAGTTTCACCCCTGGAATCTATATAGTTCAACTATATATAATAATATATTTGTCATTTCAAGAAAATCATCGTAATTACTAAAATCCAGTGTTTTTTTTAAGGTGCTGTCGC